TCAGGTTGTCCATGCATGCCCTTTACTATTAGTGTTACGTGGTTCTTCTGACCATGTAAAGGATTCAGTCATCGTTTCTCGAAAAGAACAACACCAGCAATGCACACTTGGATGTCCAGTTATGTCCTCCTGCAGATTCTAACATTTCAGCTGGAGTTTGGAGATCTTTTTATTTTTACTCTTGAACTGCATTTTGAAGTTCCTTAGAACACTTTTGTAGGTATACGAAGGCAATGCAGATGGAATTTCACAGCTGTGAAAAAAATAGCAATATTTGCTTTCACTTGCAATTTGATATCTTCATCTGACTTTTTTAGTAGCAGGATGAATATCAGAAGGCAGATTTATTTCTGAAAGCGTTTCTGGAAAAAGTGCAATTTCCTGCTTAAATACTGATCATTTCAAGTATGAAGAATATCTGTCCACTTCAGTTTTATTACTGCTTTCTACTGCTAGTCCTACAGAGCCGGTAGAAGAATGGATTCTATCTGGCAGTCTAATCTTGTAATTTGAGTTATGCTTTGTTTCTTGTTTCTGGCTCCACCCTTTGAACTGCAGGATTTGTACAGGTGAAAATGTGCACCATAAAAGGTTTGTGAGCCACCAAGCTGCTGAGATACGCTCAAGTGGAGGAAATACTCCTGGATTTAAGACAAGATTTTAGCAAGCAGCAAATGGAAAAGAAAGAAGTGTCAGATGTCAGAGGAGCAAGCTAGAGTTTCTGTTCTTCAGGTAACCTCATCTAGTGTAGACAGGTTGGGCCACAAGTCAGAATTCCTTTAGCTCTTGCAGCAAGTCAGTGGTCTAAATACAGTATCGCATCCACGGGAGCTGATTCTCGTTGTCTAAGGCATTGCAGTGCTTTTTGATTGAGGACATAACACCTTCTAGCTCCTACATTGTTGGTAAGAAAGAGAATTTCTGTGGGCAGACAATCTGACCTTGACTGATAAGGTATTAAGTGGAAGGAACTGTGATAAACCTTTGTCTAACCGTGGCTGCTGAGTTTGCTGAAATCAGTTAAGTAAGCGTAGCTGTTAATGTGTAAACTGATCACGTTGATGCGGGGTGATTCAGAGAGGGGCACCAATTGATACAGTGTCATTTTTCAACTTGCTGTGATGTGTTTAAACTCTGGCTGTCCAGAGTCGTATTTTCTTTTGCTAGTATTTATATTCCTGCTTCAGGGAATGATCTCATGTCTATTTTCTTACTTGTTTGCTTGTTTTTTCAGATTGGATGACCTCTATTGGATGTGAAAACTGAGGAACTTAGGCCCTTTTTTGTATTTTGTTATTCTTTCTTTTTATCCCTGTAGGAAGACATTGATTAATGTAGTATTTGCAGCTTTCCTAATTGGTTATTCAATGGTTATTCAGTAGGAGACTGTTTTCCACACACAACTCATCTGCAAGTGTGTGGAACCATTTAAAATGTTGGGGAAATGCCTGCCACAGGACAGGCTGTCGCATGAACTTGTCGTCTGACTACCTTGTAAACATTCTACATCTAGACTGTGTCTTGAACCTGCAGTAGGCTAACTTTTGAAAATGACAGTTGATTCAAGAGCCAGTGTGTCTGTAGAGCTCACTAAGCATCCTCCAACAAAGTTAGTCTGGGCACCATAAGCAGTGCAGCTGCTTCAGTGTAATATTCTTTCCTGAGTAACTACAAATGTAGCCAGCAAGGCTGTGGCAGTGATACTGCACAAATTTGGCTTTGAATGAATTAATATGCCTGCATTGCACATGCACAAATCTTATATTTGCCACGCTGATTTTAGTTGAAGTACCAGAGGCATGCATTTGTATTAATGCAGTGCTCCTCTCCTGCTACCATACTCTGTTTCTCAGCAAGACTAATTTATTCATGTAGGGTACCAACTTTGATGCATTGTTTTCATTTCTTCTGGTTTTGCACCAGTATGGCTTCCCATCTTCTGATGACCAGTATAGTTCAGTCTTTACAGTTGAGCTTTCATATCTGAAATGTGCTGAAATAGATAAACCTTCCAGTACAGACTTCTAAGGCTTTCCATGCAGCTTAGCATGTGTTGGATATAGAGACTTCAGTCATAAGGTATTAAAGGGTTGGGATCTGGCTAGATCCCAAAACTAGCAGAAAATAGATGTTTAATATAATCAAGTCTTTTCTGTATATTTGGAATATGACATTGAGTTTAAATTATTATTCTCATCATGAAGTTCATATGTATAGTTGTCCCTGTTGCCTACTGGGTTAGCTTTACAGAAATCCGGTAGATCAATATTATATATGGGGTCTGAATTCTCTGTGGCTCATTACAAACCAAAGGTGTTGCAGAAATTCCTGTGTAGAAATCACTTTGTTGTACTCGAGTCCTATATGGAAGAGGCATGCTAACAAATTGAACACTTTGTTGGCACTTGAAAATGGTGTTTACTCTTCAATACAGACAGTGTGATTTATTCTTGATTAGTTTTCTGGGAACCTATTGTATTATTATGTGTGAGACTATTTGTTTTATATCATTTTTTTAGTGCTGTATAAGTTCATTGTGATTACTTGTATGAGAGTAGTAATGATACTCTTATGAGTGAGCATAATGTTGAAGCATACTTTGGGTTTGAAAGAAGCAAACTTTTTTGTTGTTGTTGTTTTATTTTCAAAATTTTGAGAGAGAAACAGTTATAATGTTAGCTTTCTTCTTATTTTCTCATACCTCATAACAGGCTCCTGGAATGGTGCAGAACACATACTCTGGAAGAGAGAAAGGTTTAGAAAAAAGTGGGTTTGAATGTAGCTGTTGTTACAGTCTGTATTTCCAGCACGCTGGATTTTTTTCTCCCTGTTGCCTTTCCACCATTGACAATTATGGAAGACTAATGTTTCCTTCGTATCAGCTGACATTAAATCAAGAAACATGGATATTCTTAGTTTTTCCAAAGCTTGCTTGTTCAAATACAGTTCTGAAGACATACTCAATGATTCAATGCACAAATGGCTACTACACATTACAGCCTGTTTTCACCAAAAACTTCCAAGAGAATTCCATAATTTTGTTTCTCTTGTGTTTAGTACAATGTTGTGTACATGAAGTTTCCTCTTATTTAATTCATACTTAGGTTTTAGAGATTTGGGTTGTGTGTGTATGAGCACTCAGAAATAAAAATCTTCAATACTTCTGAATGGTTTGCTACAAACATTTGGCTCTGTTAATTGCAATTTCCACCACGTTTTAGACATCTGTATCTGAGCTGTTCATTCTAGTTTTTCTGTAATAGGAATAAAACAGGTAATATGAAATATGGTTCATCTCTTAAAGAAAAGGATGTGAGGCATCATGTATTTGAAACAGATATTCCTCACTACCTTCAAAGGGTTACCAAGATTATCTGCTCATATATATTAAGAAAACCTCTGCTTCTTTTGGGTGGATTAATCTGGTCTTCTCTTCCACCATCCTTTGCACAAAGAATATTAAAAGACTGGCTTTGGGGCAAACTGGCAGGTATTTCCCTCGAGAGTCAGTTATAGCAACTGGATGAGGGAATGGGATAATACAAATTAGAAGAGTTTTGGTCTCTGCAGACAGTTAAACTTACGAGACAGATAAAGCATCTGAATGACAAATCTCTCTCTACACAAACAGTGCATTGGGGTTCAGTTCTATCTATGGTTAGCTAGTCTGTGATCACAATAAATGATAACAACTTACTGTTAAATTGACTTCTTGTCGTTGTTCACTGTTTTATAAGCAATTTAAAGCAACTGTAAATTTACAAAAATGAGATTTCCTTAAATTGAAGTTGCTATTTCAAGCTGCAACTGTTAGAATGTCAAATGTGATAGCGTAGCCCATGTATGTTTGGGTTTTTTTACATTAAATATGTTAAAAAATTTTTCTGGTTCTTCCTTGTATTTTTCATTTCATTTGGGCCTAGCTGTGTTTTTATACCTGTTATTACATGTAGATTCTTACGCAATTCCTGACTCAGCCCTTTCACTAGGTTGCGCTTCTCTTTTCACAGCTTGTCACAGAATGGCCTGTGTTGAAAAGGACCACAATGATCATCCAGTTTCAACCCTCTGCTATGTGCAGGGTAACCAACCACCAGACCAGGCTGCCCAGAGCCACATCCAGCCTGGCCTTGAATGCCTCCAGGGATGGGGCATCCACAGCCTCCCTGGGCAACCTGTTCCAGTGTGTCACCACCCTCTGTGTGAAAAACTTCCTCCTAATATCTAACCTAAACCTCCCCTGTCTCAGTTTAAGACCGTTCCCCCTTGTCCTCATAAACAGCCGTTCCCCTCCTGTTCATACGCTCCCTTTAAGTACTGGAAGGCCATAATGAGATCTACCCAGAGCCTTCTCTTCTCCAAGCTAAACAAGCCCAGTTCCCTCAGCCTTTCCTCACAGGAGAGGTGCTCCAGCCCTCTGATCATCATAGTGGCCCTCCTCTGGACCCGCTCCGCTGTCCCCAAAGCCCTGCAGCGGTATTTCCTTCCCTCAGCCGATTTTCCCGATCGGAAACGTCTACCTCCTTGGAGAGGCTGCCCGTTTTGCCCGGTCCCTCATGGGCTTCCCTGGACGCCCCGCCCAGCCCGGCCGGCCCCGCCCCGCCGCCTATTCCCCCGGGAGCCGCCGCGGGCCGGGCAGAAGGACGCGGCCGCAGCCGGAAGCGGAGGCGCCGAGTGGTGGCGGAGGGCAGAGCTTGCGGGTGAGGCAATCATCAGCGGTGGCCGGCGGGGGGCGCGCTAGCACCGGCCTCTCGGTCACGTGACCCAGCGAGCCTCCACCGTCCTTTCTGCGGCGGGGATTGGGCGAGGCGGTCGCCGCGGCGCCCGTTGAGCTGGGGCGCTGCGAGCGTGGTTCCGGAGAGATTTCCGAGCCGCCGGGTGTTGGTTCCGGGTCCGGAGCGGTGTCACGGCGACCGCGGCAGCCGGTGACGGGCGGGGGGTCCGCCAGGCCGCCCTCTGCCGGCGCCGCGTGGTTCTTAGCCTGTAAGATGGCCCCTGAGTGCGTCCCAGCGTGCTGCTCCCGAGCTGCGGGAGCGCTGCGTGCGGCATCGGGTCCTCGGAGCGCTGAGTGAGCGCTGAGGTGACCCCGGCTGGGCCTGATGACGAGGTTATGGAAAGTGGGTTAGCAGGAAAAACACCTCGTTTAAAGGGAGAACAAAAAGGAAATTGCGTGCGTGCCCCTGTGGCGACTGACAGCAGCGTCCTAACAGGATAGCACCTCAGATCAGTGGTGCTGCCAGCCTTGCTTGGGATGGGATTTATTTTCTGTCTCGGTAAGCCTCCCAGGTGTTTCATTTAACTCTTGTTTTTTGCATCCTTTTCCATTTTCGAGATATGTAAGCCTTGCGCTCCCAACTTGAGGTTCCTTTAGCTGCGGCTGAGTTAACTACAATTAACTTCCTCATTTTTAGGCTTTGGGGCTTCTTCATTTGTTCGTTGCTTTTTTTCTGCTGTGCTCTGCTGTGCTCTGCTATGCTCTGAGAATGCCAGTGTGTCTCCTTGTAGAGCCTGACTTAGAGACAGCAGTTTATCTCCAGAACCCAGCTGCCTAAAGAGTGGACTTCAGTTCATATTCCCTCCAGGTTAGTGTTTAACCAGTGAGTCACCTGCAAAAGCAATTTCCTGGCAATTAAAATTAAGCCATTAAGAAAGGTTTTACATTTAACACATCTGAATGGGCTTATTACAGACTTTCTTCCCCACTTCCCATGAGAAATCCCTTAGAAATCTATGTTGTGTCTCCATGGTCTCTGTATCCTCAGCTAACACTGAGCTCTCTTTGCCTCTGAGGTCCAGGTCATGTGAAAATGAGCATGTCTTGTTAGCTAAGTGTGTTACAGCATTCTGTCTGCCATCAGTGACACAGAACAAGCGTCACTCAACCTCAGTTGTCAAGATGTTAAAGTAGCTGACTTTCAGTATGCTGCCTGTATTTTACAATCTGCATGCTATTGCTGACAAATACTAAGTAGTTACTGTGGGCAGTACCTCGTTGTGCTTGAATTTTTGCTGGCTGTTTGCTACTCACTTTTCAAGTTACTGTGATGTTTTGCATCGTAGAGTCATGGAAACCTTAAGAGTTGGAAGGGACCTCTGAGTGACACCTAGTCCCACTCCCCTGCAATAAACAGGGACACCACAGCTAGATCAGGTTGCCCAGGGTGTGATCCAGCCTTGCCTTGAAAGTCTCCAGGGACAGGGTATCCACCACATTTCTGGGCAACCTGTTCCAGTGCCTCAACACCCTCACTGTAAATTTAACCTAAATCTACCCTCCCTGGGTTGGAAGCCATTTCCCCTTGTTCTGTCAGTACAGACCCTGCTAAAGAGTCTGTCCACTTCTTTCCTGCATCTCCCCCTTAGATACTGAATATCACTGATATTCATCTTTGCAAAAAAGATGGCATCTTTGTAAACAGGTTTGGTTCTTTTCATGGGTTTAAGACCTCTGGAGTATGAAACAAAGCTTTGCTCCATCACAGAAGAGTGTGTGTCACAAATTCAATACCCATTATCATCTGTTCCTTTCAATTTTTCTTTCAGTGATTTCTTTATGTGCGAGCAGAGTCAGGGTAGAAAAATACTGTTTAGAATACTGGATTTTATTCTTTAGAAAGGATCATCGTGTCAGCTCATGCTTTCCTTAGCTGATTTCTGACGTGGAAAGCTAAGTGCCACCTGAGAGCCTGGGGCAGAGGCCTGTTTTGGCATCCAGCGCCCTGCTGTCTCTCCTACCTATTGTTCACTTAGCACAGCCTCTTTACTTGAAGCAGTGTCACCAGGCCTGGGAACGAGTCTTGCTCTGAGCAGGAGGCTGGTTCCTTCCAACCAGTGTCCCTCTGAGCTGCCTGTGTGTTTGCCTGAGTCCCAGTAGCAGCCCAACTATTTATTTCAAAAGGTTGTATTTCTCAGAAGGGCTTGCATCTGCCTGCTGATAGAACCATAATCTTTTTCTCTTCTGCCTCTGCTGTCTAAATAGTTGTGTTTGCTTGTTCTTACGGAACTTTGGGGAGGTGAGAGGTTACATCCTGATAAATGTTGTAAATTTGTGAGGGTAGGTACAGTCACAGGTGCAGTCCTGAGGGTGTACTGGAGTGAAATAAGTGAGTAATAAATTTCAGGATTATGTTGTAGCATTCACCTTTTGGTACTGACTCTGATACATTTTTGCTCTCTGATGGATTACCCAAAATATTTTTCTGTATAAACAGCATAAACAGTTAAGTTACTCTTTGTAGCAAAAAAAAAAAAAAAAAAAAAAAAAGGCATCTCTTTTCACTGTGGTTTGTATGTTCTCTCTTTTTTGGAGCAATGAACTATTTTTTTTCCTTATTCATGTCCTCTTGTATACTTCTCGTGCTCTAAAAGAAAATGCTTTTTAAGCTTAAATCTGGTCAAGTAGTTTTCATAACTGTCATGCATTAGGTAGAATTGAATATGAAGTTTGTGCGACACTTTAAGTGATATGAACTTCTTGAGCAGAGAACACTTGCCATAAGAAGCATTTTCTGTATGGACATATTCTTTTTTGCATCTTGTAAAGCTAAATTAACAGGTTAAATATTAAACAGGTAACAACAAGGGACAGAGTAAATGTGTAAAGGTAGTAATGTCATTGAGTTTGCAGATGTAATGTCTTCATATTCTCTCCCTCTCTCTGCTAGAATGTTGAAAGCAGTAGTAAATGCTTAAATCAAGTCTGTGGCTATTTTGAGTTTTCTGTTCTTTTTCATTCCAAAAATGTAATTACATTTTATGGACCATGTCAAACGGCTCTCTTCCTCACTTCCAAAACCAATTAACACTGAAGAAGGACATTCTATTGATTTACCATTACAGTGTTTTTCAAGAATGCCCTTTACATTAAGATTTTGTCTCTTTTCATTTCTTTGAGTTTGTCGGTTATTTGCATTTTACATCTTGGGAAAAGCCTATTGAGTATTGTTGTCACTTCTGATTTCTCTCTCTTATTCTCTTTGGGATTACCTGCACAACCATCTCTTTCTCCAGTGTTTGACTGTAATTGCTTAGGACTTTTACTAACAGCTGAAGTTACCGTTGTATTACTGCCATTCTGACAGAAGTCCTTGGCCAAGTGGAATTCTTATTTCTCATCCTTTTCCCTAAAGCACTGCTTTTTCTACTGTTACCTGTACATTTACTCTGTAACTGCTAGGGATGTCATTCCAAGCACACCAGACTTCAGCTGTGGGGCATTTTCTGCATTAGCACAGTTGCAATTTTGAACATACACGTCATAAAATAATACCAGAGTGATTGTACATCCTTTTGCTGTCTTTCCCTCTACTCATTCTATCTGGCCTGATATAGTCCCACTACCTTTACCACAGTGTAATTCAGGCTGAGAGGGACCTCAGGAGTCTCTCATGCAGCCTCCTGTTCAAAGCAGGATCATGTGTATGAGCAGGTTGTTCAGGGCCATACCTGGTATGTCTCAGAAACCTGCAGGGATAGGAACTAGGCAGTTTGCTCCAATGCTTGGCTGTCTTCATCACTAAAATCCTTTTCCATGAGTCAAGACAGAGCCTGTCCTGTTTCAGTTTATGTTTGTTGCTTGTCAAACTCCCTTCTTATGGAAAATCATCTCAGAGGTGTGGGAAGACTACTGCTGGGTCATCCAAGAGTCATCTCTTTGCAAGCTGAACAAACCCAGTTTCCTAAGCCTCTTTTCACAAGTCAGGATCTCCTGCCCGTTGTTGTCTTGGTGACTCTCCCTTGAGCTCAGTGTAGTTTGTCAGTATCTTCCTTGTACCCAAAAACTGGATGTGATATTGTATATATGATCTAATGAGTGTTGAGTAGAGGGAGATAACCCACTCCCTCTGCCTACTGTGGGTGCTCCCATTGTTGCAATGCAGGATGTTTGCCACCTTTCTAGCTTCCTTTGTCCAGGAGGGTATATTCATGAGTCTTGAGGTAGGGATGAATAAGATATGTAGCAATGTGTTAGAGAATCTAGTCACACTGCTTATCTACACTCGGTGGTCTGCTTTTCACAGAATCACAGAATTGTAGGGCCTGGAAGCGACCTGTAGAGATTATCAAGTCCAACCCCCTTGCCACAGCAGGCTCCCTAAACCAGGTCGCACAGGTAGGTGTCCAGGTGGGTCTTGAATGTCTTCAGAGAAGGAGACTCCACAACCCCCCGGGCAGCGTGTTCCAGTGCTCTGTCACCCTGAAAATAAAGAAGTTTATACACATATTTGTGCGGAACTTTCTGTTTCAGTTTGTGTCTGCTTCCCCTTGTCCTATCACCACCCATTGCTGAAAAGAGCTTGACCTTGTCCCTTTACCCACACCTTAGATACGTATGAACATTGATCAGATCCCCTCTCAGTCTTCTTTTCTCAAGGCTGAACAGACCCAGGTTTCTCAGCTTTTCTTCGTCAGAATCATCTTTGTGGCCCTCTGCTGAACTCTTTACAGGAAATCCCTGTGATTTTGTTATTTTTTTTTGTACTGGAGAGCCCAGAACTGAACAGAGTAGTCCAAGTGAGGCCTTGCCAAGGCAGAGTAGAGGAAGATCACCTCCCTTGACCTGCTTGCCATGCTCTTTTTAATGCACATCAGGATGCTATTGGCCTTCTTGGCCACGAGGGCACACTGCTGGCTCATGGCCAACCTGTTGTCCACCAGGACACCCAGCTCCCTCTCCGCAGAGCTCCTCTCCAGCAGCTCAGCCCCCAACCTGTACCGGTGCGTGCAGTTATTTTTCTCTAGGTGTAAGACTGTACACTTGCACCTTCCTCTCCTGTATTTCTCCAAATCCCTTGTATCAGCTTGTACCTCTGCTGCAGCCATCTGCATCACAGGGACTGGTTGTCTACATGTCTAGTGAAATGTGTCACCTGTCAGGTTTTGCCTTCTGTTAGGCAGACCAGTTTGTGTATAGTACTTCAATTACATAACCAGGTTTTATTGTTTCTACCGACGCACAGTTTACACAGTGCTGCTAGAAGGCTGATATTTTCAAGTATATAGGTTGAGTAGTTCAGCCATTCAGTTGCTGACGAGGTTTTATTTTTTGATTGTGTCCTTCATGAATTCTGCTGGTGATGAAGGCTCATGTTCGTTTTATGAACTATTTAAAAGATTGAAGCTTGTTTTTTAACTGATTTTTTTCCTCATCTGTGGTTTTAGTTGATAACATGCAATAGGTAGAAGCCTGAAGCAACTGCCTCCATTTGGTTTTATTACTATTTGGGATTTCAGTGCATCTGAAAGTCAAAAACTGGAAGATGGAGTATAGAAG